AACCCCCCCCCCCCCCAAAAAAAACGCATTATTTGAGCCGGTCATTTTTTTGGTCCCGGCTTGAATAAGGAAAAAAACGCATTAAAGACACCCAAATTACTAAATGAGCCGCCACATTAGAAGCCTTGTAGAAGCCCTACATACCCTAAACTCCCCACCTGTAATTAAGGGGCTGAGGATGTTAGGAGATAGGGTTCTGATGGGTTCAAGGGGGGATCAGGGGGTCTAGGGTTCAGGGCCTGGTTTAGGGTTTAGGGCCTGGCTTAAGGTTTAGGGCCTAAGGTAGGGTTTAGGGGTTTCTATATCCCAAGCCCTAAAGCCTAAACGCTATAAGCCCTAAACCCTAAAGCCTAAGCCCTAACGCCTAAACCCTATAAGCCCTAAACCCTAAAGCCTGAACCCTATAAACCCTAAACCCTAAAGCCTAAGCCCTAAAGCCTAAACCCTATAAGCCTTAAGCCCTAAACCCTAAAACCCCATAAGCCCCAAGCCCTCTTCGGTGTTTTGGGCCTTTAGGTTCTGGGAGCAATCTTCGGGCCGCAAGCTTTGGGGAAGCGTTTGGCAATGGTACCTGCATTACCTCAAGGACTCTAAACTATGGGAATTGTGGTATATTCCTTATTATGTGTAATGCAGGATTTATATCCTCAACCCGTATTTCCTTATCATCCCTAGAGAATCATAGTAGAATCACATGCCCCCAAGCTGAATCTACTTATGCAGGCCCCTCCATGAGAGTTTAAGTGGCATGGCATTTCAGGGTTTGCTGCGAAGGGTATGGTGCAGGCCATTCGGTGTGAAGTTGGTGGGGTTTTCAGGGATTTGGGGTTTACAGGGTTCAAGAGTTCTGGTGATTTGGGAAAGTATCCCCCATATCCCCCATAACAGGACCCTTTGGGGATGATTTACCCGGAGTCCTTTTGTTGCACCTAACACCCTAGTACTTGGACCATCAGGGGTAAGCAATAGTTTCAACATGCTTCAACAGTTGTAGCTGTTACATTCTTCTATAGGGCTTACATGCAGGCGGCAACTGGTTTCCAGCACATCCTGAACATTTGACCCGGAGTCGTTGCAGAAGATTTCTACTGGCGTTACCCGCGAGCGGATCAACGAGAGCAACGGGGCAAAGAGTGGAGATGGGGCTCCAGGCGATCCAGATCGTCCAGAATGTCAACTACCCCTAGGCTCCTAAGTAGTTCCTTTTTGTGGTTTATATTTAGAATCCTATAAGGTAATCCCAAAAAGGAACTACTTAGGGGCCTATGGGTACTTCAACTTTAAGTACGTGGTCAACATAGCAGAAGTACCATCGCGTATCTTGAACGCCACTCGTGCACGGGTGTGGTACAACATCCTTGTTGTTGCACTTTGGCAGGGAGCTACTTCCACAAGTGAAGGGAACTCAGCAACTTGGAGATACTGCACTTGTGGTTGCTCATACGCCCACTAAAATGCAAGCTGTTCGCGATAGGAGAACTTAGGGAGGCGAACAGTAAAGAGATTCGTCGCGAAGGGCTTGTGCTGTGCCCACGTGATCAGTTGAAGCCTTGCTCACAAGCAGGCAGCCGTTGCAAGAGGATCGGAAACTACCCGAATACCCCTTAGTCCTAATACTAAGCCATTCAGCCTTCGACCCCAAACTTCAAGCCCTGAACCTCGACCCCGACGCCCGGAACCTCTAGCCCGTAGCCCCGACGGTAACCGGAACACTACGGCCCAACAAGAACGCTTGCCTTTCAATTCGCCCAGGCCTCACGCCCCTTTCCACACAACGCTCCAGGCAGTGCAGGGGTTCATCTAGGTGAAAGGCTCCAAGGGTGAGATGAAGGTAGGTGGAGTAATCCCAAAATAGCAATCCTCTTGCAAGGAATCCTTGACTTAATCCTACTACCTCCATCCCGCCTCTAATTTTTTGTAACGGTATGAGCCAAGAGGGCTCCAGCACTTAAGACCCTAAACCCTAACACACCCTAAACCCTAAAGGCCCCAAACCTCATGAACCCAAAATCATATACAATAAATAAACCCTAAACTCTTAAAGGACGATCGGCCAGTGCATGAAGCCTTCACAGTCGGTTGCAGAATGTCGCGTCGCTTCATTCGGATCGCTTTCGGCTCGGCCACGGCAACTTGAGGTACCGTTAAGGGTTAAGGGTGAGGGCTTAGGGTTTAGGGTTAAGGGTGCGCAACGAGGTGACCCGGGACGCCATGGCTATGGAGATCGGTGCGCGTGTTGAAGCGCATTCACTCGTCAATGCGAAGCAGTTGAATGGACTTGTGGGCAAAGTTTGTGCTTTGGAAGGGGATCGAGTAGGCGTTGATTTTGGTGCACCGCAAGGTGCCAAGGCACTGAAGCCTACGAACCTGCTAGTTCTGCCGGCGCAGAAACTGCCAGTAACAGTCCTTAGCGGATTTCTTGGAGCTGGAAAGACGACGCTGCTCACGCACATTCTGACGAATCGCGAAGGTCTTCGTGTTGCCGTACTGGTGAATGATATGGCATCCATCAATGTAGACGAAGAGTTGTTGAAGCAGGGTGTGCAGTTCAGCGAAAGCAAAGACAAGATGGTCGAGTTGCACAATGGCTGCATTTGCTGCACTCTCCGGGATGACTTGATCAAGAGTGTCCGTGACCTGGCGCTGGAGAACCGCTTCGACTACTTGATCATTGAAACTGGGCTTTTGTTAAGCTGACGTAGTTACATTCTGTTGCCTTACTAGGTTCCTTAATAGTAACTTAAACTAGGTTCCTTAATTAATAGTAACTTAAACTAGGTTCCTTAGTAGTAACTTAAACTAGGTTCCTTAAGAGTAACTTAAGCTAGGTTCCTTAATGGTAACTTAAACTAGGTTCCTTAAGAGACAACTGTTAACGAGAACCTGGAGGGAACGAGAACGCAGGAAAGCACCGGGATCTCCGAGCCGCTACCTGTGGCGACGACCTTCGTCGCCAAGGGCGAGTCGGGAAAACCGCTCCTCGGAGAGCTTCTTGGGAGCTGAATTACTATAGGGTTTAGGGTTTAG